CTCTCTCTCTCTCTCTCTCTCTCTCTCTCTCTCTCTCTCTCTCTCTCTCTCTCTCTCTCTCTCTCTCTCTCTCTCTCTCGTTGTAATGCTGTTAGACAGACAGATCAAGCAACTTATGCCATATTTTCCATTGTTTCTCGACTGTGATTTTTCAGCCACATTTACTGAGCAGTGAGCATCAGTAAAATGTGTGGCATCAGTAAAATGTGTGGCAACAGTAAAATGTGTAGCAAACAGTAAAATGTGTGGCAATTAGTAAAATGTGTGGCAACAGTAAAATGTGTGGCAACAGTAAGATGTGTGTTCGTCAATGTACGAGTAAACAGCAGCAGAAGCTTGTTGAAAAGAACAAGAACAACTTGTGCCCGGATCAGACGCCGTAGCCGAGAAACGACCAAAGTGGATGAGTGTATCAGCGTAACATGGTTCAGATTACAACATGCATGGTCGATCTTACGTTCCCAGGAGCATTATGCTTCCTCTGCGGTCCGGAACAGCACACAACACATTTCCACAGGACAACGCCTCCAGATTCCGTAATCATCAACTGCTGGTACAACTGTCGCATGAATATGAACATTCATGTTCCGTTACAGTGACCGTATCGCCTCTTTTCGTTAGGGACTCGGTTGTGTTGAACCATTCTCCGTCTGGAAGCAACGCTGCTTACAGCTGAGTCTCACATTGCTTGCAACTGAACAAAGTCCAACAAACAGAGTCCCGTACTGCTTACGACAGAGTGCGACACTGGATAGCACTGGACAAACACTGTAGAGGTTGAGTTGTTTGCTCAACTTTGCTATAGAGTCCCACACTGGTTATTACAGGTGAAGTTGTTTGCTATAGAGTCCCACACTGGTTATTACAGGTGAAGTTGTTTGCTATGGAGGTAAAGCTGTTTCAAATTTGGGTCTTCTCATCTGGGTGGAAAAGGGCTGATGTGGTGACAGTTCACAATACACTGCTTACACAGAGTCCCACACTGCTTGCATCAGAGTCTCACAATGTTTGCATCAGAGTCCCACACTAATCGGAGTCCCACACTGGTTGCATCGGAGTCCCACACTGGTTGCATCAGAGTCCCACACTGGTTGCATCAGAGTCCCACAATGCTTGCATCAGAGTCCCACACTGCTTACACAGAGTCCCATACTGGTTGCATCAGAGTCCCACAATGCTTGCATCAGAGTCCCACACTGCTTGCATCAGAGTCCCACACTCCTCACGACAGGGAAAATAGAGTCCCACTCTGCTTACAACAGAGTCCCATAGTGCTTACAATAGAGTCCCACACTGGCTTCGGCTGGGCTAACAGTCCCACACTGCTTACAGCTGGACAAGCAGAGTTCCACAGTGGTTACAGCAAGAGTCCCACGGTGGTTACAGCAAGAGTCCCAGAGTGGTTACACCAGGAGTCCCACTCTGCTGACAACAGCGTCCCACAATGCTTACAGTAGAGTTCCTCACACTGCTTATATTGGGCCAACAGGGTCCCACACTGCTTACAACTGGACATAACTGATTCCCACACTGCTTACAGCAAGAGTCCCACACCGCTTACAGCAGAGTCTCACGCCGCGTACAGCGGAGTCCCACACCGCTTATAACTGGACGCTGGGCCCGATTCCCAGCACGTGCTTCTCCCCACGAATAGATTGGAGCATTGTTGCCATCCCACACACGCTTATAACTGGACGCTGGGCCCGATAACAACTTAACCCTGGAGGCAAACACCCCCCGTGTAATCAACCAATTCAGTGAGCCGTCATTGTTTATCAGCACCCACACTGGAGCTAGCATCATGCAAGTTCAGCAAGTTTCTAGCCTTGTTTTTTTTTTTTTTTTTTTTTTTTTTTTTTTTTGAATGATACCAGACCATAATACTCAACAATCTTGATTTCCAAAATCCGCAGCCTGCACACACGTGCCTGGCGCTGCGAAGTTTCACACAAATCTGACAATTCCATCAACACGATTGTGCATGCCCTCAGCATCAGCTTCACCTCACGTCTGCAGATACGTAATGGGTTGAGCAAGCCGTTGATGTCTTCAGTGTTAGCATCGCCGGGATGCTTAGTGGCTAATAGTGGGAGGAGGGTGGTCCTCTTTCCCCGAAGATGGTGGGGTAGGGTTTGAGGGGAAGGGTGGTAAGTAGGTGGGGGTTGAGGAAGTGGGGGAGGAGTATTTTTGGGAAAGCTCTATTGTTGAGGATGGAAATTTCGATTAGGATGTTTGCGCGATTTGGTCTACATAGCTGCTAATGATTTTCGTGATCTTAGTTGTTCTGATTAGAATTTTAGCAAAAATTGTATGTAAGTGATTTCGTCGAATTTTGATATCCCCTAAACTGGATTGACAAGATTTAACGACGATCTTGAAAGGAGTTCTCACAACTTTCTCAAATATGTGCCAATTGTCTCCGCTAGAAACTGGTTCGAAAATCCTTCGTGGATATCAAAACCTTGGTTCTTGACCTTTGAGCTCGTCCGTCTATGTTGTTTATGTTCTGGATTTGTAACTCCAAATTTCTGATTAATTCTTAAATTGATTGAGGTACAGAGGATTGATGGGGGGGGGGTTTGAGTCGTCTCTGATGACTAAAAAAAAAAAAAAAAAAAGAAAAAAGATTTGTAATAGACTGTGAAGTTACGCTTCTAATCCTCTAGCTACACATGCTAAATAGCTTCGAAATTGATTTCTTTTTTGAGAAGTTTGATGGGTGTTTTGGATTTTCGATTCGAGGTTGACACTGGTCAGGCATATAGTGGGGGAACTGGATGGATGGATATCAAGCGTCCTGCTGACGAGGGGCGTAGTTGGCAGGAAGGAGTCAGAGTATAGCAGCAGCAGAGATGGTGGCTCTTCTGCAGTAAGTCTTGCTGGAGTGGGGGAATGGAGATTGATGGGTGGTATTGCGTGAATAACCTGACCAGTGGCAGGAAGGAGTCTGGAACTGAAGGAGGGATGATTTAGGAAATTTTCAGCTGCCCATCTGAGGCCGAGTCAACACTGTCACGCCTTAAGCACATGTTGGGCCGATGCCAGAATGACGCTGGCCGGTGCTGGGGTTCTGGTTACGCTGCCCTGTAACCTGAGTTAGACAGGGGCATGAGGCCTGGTAGAGAGATCTGGGGAATTGCCGAGGGTGGAAGTGATTCTAGTGACCTCCCGTGGGCTTCCATCAGGACGACGGCGGTCGGAGCTGGAGCAGGTTGTGCTGCTTTGTAACGCAACAGGGGGGCGTGAGACCTAGTAAAGACCTGGCATGAGGGTGGGACAGTGGAGGTAGGTTTTGGCTGGTCTGCTGAGTATTTGCTGGGTCGCCTGGTCTTCTGTTTCTTTCCAGGCTCCTATTTAGTTCCCACTGTTTGCAGAAACTTTGATCTCATTTTTCTAGAAACTTGCTAGTGTTCTCAGAACCTTTCTAAGGCAGGGTGCTGGTGGCAAGGGGCTGTGGTGAGATGATGGTGGGGGGGGACGCGCTCTGCGGCGAAGGGGCTAGCTTGCAGAGCTGAAATAGGGCATAGCAGCGGTGGAGATGGTGGCTCCATTGTGGTAAGACTTGCCGGAGTAGGGTAGGGAAGGTTTTTTGTGGGATGTTAGTAACCAGTGCCCGGACGAGGGATGATCAGATCTATATTTTTTAGTTGACGCCGGGTAGCAGGAAGTGGAAGATTGGTCCTAGGGTTGTTGGGCAGAGTGGTGGGTGCGCGGGCAGAGGAGGGATTAGTGTTCAGGGGGTAGGTCTACTTAGAAGGGTGGGGTGGGGTGACAATGGTCGGTGCTGGAGCGTAGGTGCTCTGTGACCAGGGGTGGAGCTTGAGACTATTGGAGCTATAACGAGGGTGGAAGGCATAACCATCTTGTTCAACGCAGCTGATGCCGGGGCAGTGACCCTGTAACCTTCGGGGGCTTTTCAGCTAAGGAAGTTGTCGAGGGAGGAAGACACTTCCTGACCGTCAGAACCAGCTCGGTCGGTACTGGGGCAGTTGGTGTTGCCCTGTCATCCTAGCAGGGGGGGTATGAGACCTAGCGAGTTCTGGTGCGAGGACTGAACATCTGGGCTACGGTCTTTCCTCTGTGGTGCGAGGAAAGAAAGAGCTGGATTGTTGGTGGTTTTTGTTTTCCTTTCTTCCTGTTTTTAGGCCAATCAGACTTTTCTATGTTTCCATATTTTCTAAATTTGACCTATCATCAAAGGTCGTCGCTGCTCAGTTAATCCCCTGGTTTTCGGGGCAATCAATGCTGGCAGGGGGAGGTCTTCTTAATTTTGTCTCAAAAAAGAGGTGAGCGGGAGAAGTAGATGGTTGGATATCAGGCGTCCTACCAGTGAGGGGGCTAGCTCGTAGGATGGAAATAGGGTACAGCAGCAGCGGAGATGGTGGCTCTGCTGCAGTAAGTCTTGCCGGAGTGAGGTAAAGAGGATTGATGGGGGGTTTCTGAGTCGTTTTCTGAACTTTGCCTGTTTTCGAAGTTTGTCGTAGACTCGTAGTAATTTTCTAAGTAGCTCAATTTTTTCTTAGCCAAAGCCAGGTAACGGCCCCGGTATGTCAAACTTTCAAATTTCTATGTAAACTTCTATATGGGACGCTGGGCCCGGTTCCCAGCACGTGCTGCTCCCCATGAATGGATTGGAGCCTTGTTCCCAAAAAAAAAAAAAAAAAAAAAAAGAGAAAAAAAGGGGGGGTTCTTCTCTCAAATTCTTTTCGGCCTTTCACTACCTTCCTACCACTAC